AGTGTGAGAGAGCATCCAGAGCGTGAAAGTCTGCTGAAGGTGGGAGTTTTCTCCAAGGAGTGTCTGGGAGCTCTGTCAGGATTCATATATTACTGATGCAACATGGCAGAACCGTGTTTTAAGAGTCACCAAGTGACACATGGAGACATGTCTTACTGTGTACAAGCTTGTTTTATCGCTGTATTTGTACATGCAAAAACCTGGAAAACAAAGCTGATGAGAAGAATGCCCATGTCCTCCTCTTCACTGGATTCACAGAGGTGTAGGTGCAGAATGAGACGAGAGGAGAAATTTTTATCCAAGTTACAGTTTAGTTACAGATCATGTAATCCCAGACTGGTTTGGGTTGGAAGTGTCCTTAAAGCTCCTCCAGTTCCAACCCCTGCCACGGGCAGGGACCCCTTCCACTAGAGCAGCTTGCTCCAAGCCCCCGTGTCCAACCTGGCCTTGAACACTGCCAGGGATGGGGCAGCCACAGCTTCTCTGGGCACCCTGTGCCAGCGCCTCAGCACCCTCCCAGGGAAGAGCTTCTGCCTAAGAGCTCATCTCAGTCTCCCCTCTAGATCTCAGACAAGACTTAGATCCTCACCAGCCAAAGACCTTGGCAGCCATGGGCTGCACAGGGCAGAGGCAGGTTTCCAAAGCCCAAGTCTGGCAGCTGGAGCCTCAGCCCAGGGCACTGGAGAGCCGAGCAACGCTGGACCAGTCTCTGAAGTCCATGATTCAGTTGTTTGTTTATGTAAAATGTGTTGTAAGCACAGCTGCTTTCTGAGGCATGTATAGTAATGATGGGGCAGTCACACAAACTGGCTCCACTCCAAACCTGTGAGTCAATGCAAAGACCTGAAATGCATCTGAACAGCTAGAGGATCAAAACCAAACACCAAAACCAACTCGTTTGCTATTCAGATCTGGATATGAGCATTGTCATTGGGAAGATAAGTAACAGCTACCACATAATCGGGCCCTTGTGGTGCCCAGAGCTCAGGAATGGAGAAGGTGGAGATCCAGGGCAGAGGGAGGGGTGCACATGTCAGAGTGCCTGCAGGCATCCTCAGCACCCTCAGCTTTGCTGGCAAGTCAAATTTCTTGCTTCTGTTGCCAGCACAAAGCTTTGAAACTAGAGTAGAAATACAGTTTATTGCTCTTTAATACAGTCAAGATTCTTTGTTTTGTTTTTTTTTTTCCTTTTTTTGGGGGGTACGAATTTAAAAGATTAGAGATCCAGGTTAAGAAAAAAGATATTTCAAAAGTAAAGTTTCATAAAAAGCACTAGTAAACATCCAGCATTTTCAGAGGCACAGTTCCTAGCACCTCCTTCCTTATCCAGTGTTCAATGCAATTTCACAGGCAGTTCTGTTTCTTTAGCAAGTTCACTATTTGCTGGAGAGGTTTCACCTGGGCCCAAGAAGAGGTTTCTTCTCTTGTGCTTTTGTAAAACATGAGTTACTCAGCTGTCACACTAGGTGCTGGCCACCAAATTGCTTCTTCTGGATTAAAATCATAGATGGAAACCTGCAGCAACTGAAGGACACTCAGCAGACCCTGTAGCTCAGATGCACAAAGAGCTGCCAGTCTTGGGCTGTGCTGGGAGCTTAGTAATGTAGAAGTGAGGGGACAGTAAAATTCACATCCTTGTTCTGTAGAGCGCGTGCCTGTCACTCGCACGGTGGCAACTTGTCAAAACAGCAGGGTTGAGCGTGGGCAGGCTGCAGGGGAGTCAGGTGCCGCAGGAGGAGCTGTGACAGCAGTGCCATGCATGGGCTGAAGCTGCTGCCCCATTTCCCCTCTTGTTTCCTCAATTTACATTTCCATCTCTGCAGGCTTAACTCCATGGCAAAGTTTTCTTTTCATGATCTTTCAAGGTCTCCCAGTGTATTTTATCCCAGCTAAGAGTTACCATCACTAAGAAGCGATGTGGATTGTAAGGAAATAGACCATATCCATACTTAAACCTACTGCAAATGAGCATGAGCATGAGCCTCTGCAAAGCAGAAGAGCAACCTACGCTCTGGTGTCCTATGCAACAGCACGGCACAGCTGGGCAGTGCTCATGGGCAACATCTGGCAGCACACTAAGGGCTTGGGATAAGAAGCAGCAAGCCATGACACGAGAAGTGAAGGCAGAAGTTGGTGAACATGGGCTGCTTCAAGCACTGGGGCTTGCCCAGCGCAGGAGGTAAAGTCGACTGGGCAGGGGAGGTTTGGAAAACACCAGGAGAGTGCAGGAGATGAGAAAACAGAAGTGTTAACCTTACAGTCTTAATGGTGAGGGCAAGAGGGTTCAAACAGAGAGAGCAGGAGGAAATGAGCAGTGCAACACAAGGGGAATTGCGGAGTGGTGGCAGGAGAGGAGCGATTCAGCTGTGGATTGGGGCTGGTATGAAGGAAGCAGCAAGGGACAAGAAAAGGAAATTATGCTCAAACCAAGGGGTGCCAGTGGTGAAACATGATCTACAGAAAGATACATGAGTCAGAACACTGACATTGGTTATTCTCTGTAAAAGGGCAAGCAAGGGAACAAACAACAGACACAAGGTCTTGGAAAGTGCTGAAGATATGGAAAGGCTGCTCTCAGACATCTTACAGAAGGGCACGTAACCAGGGGCTGAAGGAAAAAAGAAAATTAGGTGAAGGAAATCAGTAAGCGAGAAAAGGACACAGAAGGGTACCAAGGGAAAGCTGAAAGCAGCAGCAGAAATATGGGACTAAAAGAGATGAGGGGTGTACCTGGGATCTTCATTTCAGTAGAAGGCTATGAAAGGAAATCAAAGATTAGATGAAGAATAAGCTAGGAGGCAAAGAGAGAGGGTACAACAGATCTGGCTCAAATCAGCAGAACAACAAAGTGCTGCAGCAAGAGAAGTCAAGAGTAACTCATCTTTCATTCTTGGGCATGGAATCAGTACAATAACAACTTTGCAAACGTTGGCAGGAGGGGCCTTGGCCTTGGGGACTGTTACTCCATCTGAGCTAAGAAAGTCTACACCAGCCTGGGCAGGAGGCACTAAACTGGCACGATGACTTCCCAACGCTCCAACAAGTTATCAAAGTGTATCCTCACCACCACAAAAACCAGCAAGACTTGGGGTGGTGCCGGTGGCAGTTTGTACCTTGTAAACACAGCGAAAGAAAAAAGATAATTGATCAACACCCACTGTTTGCACAGCTCACCCTTACCAAAGGCTGCTGTTCCTTCCTCCTCTTTCCTGGAAGCACAAAGGCAGCTCTCTGGAGGAAGGGTTGCTTTGGTGGCGGTTTCCTCCTCCCAGCTCCTCACACAGTGCAGCAGTTCAGAGTCCACTGGAGCAGCAGCAGCACCTTCAGTAACAAGGGCTTTAATCACAGAATTAATCCCTCCATTTTCTGTAGCGCTTCAAGTCCCCTGCCATGGCTCCTGCAGAGAAACCTGTGGGGTTGGTGCCACCTCCACAGGCTCTGGGGAAGAGCCTCTCAACAGCACAGCATTTCCTTCTGCCTGCAGTGTGGGGGCTGAAAATCGTTTCTGTTCTCACGGCTCTGCATCGCGTTTCTCTCCTCCAGCCCTGGGGTGGCAGCTGGTGCCTGGTGCTCCCCTTCCTCACAGCAGGTGGGGGAGATTCATCAGAAAGGTTGTCTCAAGGTGCAAACTTTGCATCTGGCTGCAGATGTTGAAGGTCAGAATTAAGCCGCTTTAACTCAACACCTTTGCACCTGTGGGAACCTTTGAGAAGATGTTCTGAGGCCTAGATGCAACTCGCATGCAAAACATAAAAGCACGGCACACTTCTGGTACCGCACAAGCTCCTTGCACTAACACATTATCAAGAGATGCTGTCTTAGTGAGTTTAGAAGTGACAGCAACTCAAGAAGAGGGGACCCTCAAAAAACAGCGTCCAAATGACTTTGAATCAGAAGTGAGACCCTCTGGCTACCTGAAAACAGGCGCTCATGGTCAGTCCTTGGGTCAGTGCTGAAGGCTTTTAGGAAATGATCGCATTAGGCAAAGTAAGAGTATCCTAAAAGATCTAAGCACTGGACTAAAGAATTGTTTAGCTTTTAGATAAGATGATGCTATTTCATTTGCAGTCACATCCACTTTCTTCTCTTTACGGAAATAAACCATCACTTCTGATAGTGTCCTTGAATTTGTTAATTTCTGGCCTTGAAGAAGTCATAGAATCCCAGGCTGGTTTGTGTTGAAAGAGACCTTGAAGCTCTTCCAGTTCCAACCCCTGCCACGGGCAGGGACCCCTTCCACTGGAGCAGGTTGCTCCGAGCCCCTGTGTCCAACCTGGCCTTGAACACTGCCAGCCCGTAATTCACCTGTGGAACAGGGGCTTCCTTCACATTGTATTTCACAAAGCTGAGAGAAATCTGGGAAATTCTTGCCATGCTCCTGCTGTCCAGCCTGGGCAGAGACCTGCACAGAAACCCAGATTGGAGCTGTGCTGGCAGGTCTGGTACAGCTGCAAAATGGGGTCTCCTGCATCCTAAGAGACACCCGCACCACGACATGTTTCTCTGGCCTCTGGTTTCTTCAATCCATTAAAAAAAGTAAATGTACGGAAATAGCCCAGACCCAAGAACATAGGCCCAGATCACAGGAGCCTGCGGTAAATACAGAAAGCAACACTTTTTGATTTTGATTTTGAAGGCAAATGCCAGTTTTTCAGAAGTCTGCAGCAGTTAGAGGGAAGGTCAGAGCACTACCAAAGGAGAAACATGACATTTTCTACCCACTATCACACACTGATCCCATTAAAGGGCCTTCTACCTTCTGTTGGACAGTCATTGGTTGGCGGCTAATTAAAATATCTCCTGTTGCCCTCCACTTGAAACTCATCAGTGACCGATCATCATCAGAGAGCTTTCTCCCAAGTTTAAGAAAATATTGTGCAATAATCTGGCTTACACCAAGTACACAGGGTATGTAGCCAAACAATCCTCTGTGCCATTCAGGTATTTGACAAGCTGAAGTGTTTAAGGGTGCACCTGGCGTTTCTGTTCAGATCCACAAGAGTTTAGTGTAGTTTTGAATCCAATCTCAGACAGAAACTTGGCCTCAGAGCCCTTTGGTACAGAAAAACTGGAGGCAGGTTTCCTGAATCCCAGGCACAAGCCCCTGGTTTGGTCTGACACTTGCATCACACAATCCTTGAGTTGAACCTGCCCTGCTACATCCTGAAGCCTGTTTAGTTCCCGGTTCTGCTGCCTAAGGAGCTTCATCTTCCATTTTCCAGATGAGTTTATTCATGGGGAGTTTCTCTCCATCTGTTCCCATGGCTGCAGTGCTTTCTTGCAGGTCCTGCTCCTCTCCTAAGGGTGACCACACACTGTTAGTTCCTTGGACCAGCACCCCAGTGAGCAGCCCATACCCAGCATAACCCCTGCTTGTCTCTGAGTCCTTCCATCAGTGTACCAGACAGCTGTACCTGGAAGGTCTGACTTCAGAGATGCTCCAAATTCATCAGGTCTTGTTTGTCAATGAAGTGAAAGAGCACAAGGCGATTGTTAATGCTGGAATTGCTGCTCAGAGCCCTGGGCAGAACATGTGCCTGCCCTGTCAGGAAACAGAGACACTGACGGCTCATGCATCTTTAATGATGCTGCTCAGCACAGTACACATTTGATAGCTGAAGGCATAAAAGACTCACCAGGAGCAGGAGTGTTAGAAGTCTTTGTCCATCTTTCAGGGCCGGATCTAGTTTCTACAGTTAATGAAAGTCCTTCCCATTAGTTTTAGCAGGGCTGGACCCAGAGCTGAGCAGCTACACACAAGGACAGCTATAGCTCAGACATAGAGCTGTGGGAATCAAGGACTGGGTTATAGGGATTTAAACACAGACGTTTCATGTTTAGGGCTTTCTCCTCCCTCAAAAGGGCAGCCTCAGTGTCAGGTGCCCTCACCGTGGTGTTACTCTACAGATGAAAGAGACTGGTGCAGCGGCACTCAGGTAACCAGGATTATGTTGTCAGCAGTATCAGTCTGTCCCATCACACATGCCCAGTTCCAAGTGAGGTTAAAATGCTTTTCCTCTTTAAACCCGTAAGTGAACATTTAAATAATCAGCAATTAGGAACAGTGGGAGCTAAGCAACACTAACGGAAACATCAGGAGACATGAGCAACTCAGCCCCTTATCAAAGTTACCTGACATTAGAAACGCAGACTCAAGGTTAAGGTATCTGGCCTTAACTGCATATTCCTTATTACACAACTCACATAACATCGGGATTTCTTTTTTTCCCTAGGCTGTTGAGAGCTGGTTTAATGATGTAGCAAGACAACAAACAGCAGAACACACTCAGAACAAGCCGTGTGTATAAACAGTTGGGGGAATGCACAGTCACTCCTACCACAAACCTGGGTTTTATTTTTGCAGCATCCCAGACTGTTCCCACTTTTAGTGAGCTTTTAGCAGAGCAGATGAATGTTTTCTCCTTGCTTAACGCATTGAGCAGTCAGTCCAGGCATGGCTCTACATCTGTTGCAGGCCAAGATCCTTCATATGTATTCCAGTTAATCAGCTTTGTTAATGACAGAGAATAAATGAAAGACCATCTTTCCATTGAGATCCAAGGGTAGACAAGACTGAAGATGACAGCTGTAACCAGAGAAGTGCTGCTGATGATGTACACTGTGCTGGAGTATTTACAATGAAAAAAAATGTTTCTAATCACTATTAATTGGGAGTTTCCTGTTCTGGGAGCTCGAGTGCTTATTAAGTGTGGCAGCAGCCAGCCTGATAACAGACATGACTCTCCTACAGTTTGTCTTTCTAATTTCTTTTGACACAAGGATAAACTTAGAGGAAAAATATATACTAAGAGAAAAAAGGAGCAAAGACCAAGACAATGCTGTTCACAGGTGAGTTCAGTTCACACACTCCTCCATTTCCTAAGAAAAAAGCTGTTATGTCCTAGTTCCAGATGAACGGTTTGCTGACTGATCAGGGAGACCACAGAGGGCTTCATTCCGTTTTTACCAATGTACCACGGCCCCTGTCCCTGAAGGGCACTTTGCTATTGCTGTTTACACAGTAACAGAGTTAGTATTGACCAGAGTTACTGTTGAGCAGAGCTGATACAAATGTGCCTGCATGGGTGAAAACTCACACCACTGCAGAGAAACACCCCAAACCCAAGCCTTTGCCACTTACATTACATAAACATCTGCAACATAAATGCCCATTTCAGTCTGAAAAAGTTCGAGGTGTTGGCTCAATAGCAAGGAAACAAGGAGGGAGCCATCACACTACTCAAGTTCCAGGAAGAGAGAAATGTAGAAGGATAGATGCATTATGAAAATATAAAAGGATATCGGGTGCAGTTATTGCAAAGCACATGAGAACTCTACATGTTGGTAACTGCTTAGCATTTAATTGCTCTTGCTTTTAATTCCACCCACAGGTAAAGGAATAAAGCCCAGTTTTTGAAATAAGTCCTCTCTGAAACACGCTGTGCAGAATCCCAGCAGAATTAATGGTGTAAGGACTCGGTGCTGGTTACCAGGACTTGACCTGGGGACTCAAGGCACTAAACACACCCAAAGGAAAGTGTGCCCAAGTAGTACCTGGTTGCCCCCTGTGCTCTGCAAGCCTAATGGAACCACCACCCCTAAACCCACTCATTTTCTAAGTGTTTTCAAGAAGGATTATTCTCGAGAGCCAGTGACTGTTTCTCATGGGCTTGGTGCCAGGAGGTCAGGGACCTGTTTGCTGGTAGTGCAGGTATGTTAAGGCTTGGGCTGAAACAGAGTATTTGGGACAAACAGGTTTAGTCAAGAATGCCAGTGACCTGAGCACGTCCCTTTAGAGTCCTGCCAGTTTTGGTGGGGACTCACAGAGCTGCATCTTGGTGGTGGAGGGACTGTCACTTTCCCTGGATGTGTGTGGAACCGGATGAGCTTTAAGGTCCCCTCCAGCCCAAACCATCCTCTGATGCTATGATTTTCCCCATGCTCAAACCCATCCCACTGAGCTGACCTCCTTCCTGCCCACGGCCAAGAGCTCAAACCCAGCAGACCATCAGACACCCAGAACAGCCAGAGCTGCACAGAATCACTTTTATTCGGCAAGGATTAGAACTGCTCCAGTCAAACGGGCCATGTAATTGCTGCAGTACTGTTAGAAAGCAAAGTGGAGGTGGGGAATAGCTCATGCACCATAGTTAGCGGCAGGTGATTAAGTTGCAGTGAAGTCACAGGGCTTTTTCTTCCTCTTTTTCTGTGAAAAATTCAATTTGCCTTCAGGCAGCTTTGGGAGCTGATACTGATCTAATCCCCCCACAGCCCAGACCTGCCCTGCTGCAAATTTCCACCTCTATCAAGAGCACAAAACCACATTCCTCTCCCCAACAATGCAATGGCCCTGGATCCACTTACCTCAGCCCCCGCTTAAACCCGGGCTGCAAAACACGTTATACAATTGTGAATCCGAAGTCAAATCCCTGTGAGGCCGCAGGTACAAACGCTGGAATGCTCTTTGCTGCTTTGACAAGCCCTAAAAAGCATCATCAATATTTTCTATAGTTCTATCTCTAAAGGCTCACAGCTTTTCCTTCTCCTCCCTGCTCTGCTGGGCTCTGGAACCCTTCCTGCTCAGTTTTCTTTTGTCCTGCTGGTGCTGAAATTGACATCTCTGTTCATGGCTCTTCCTCCCCTCCCAGCACACCTGAGTGACCACTGTTGGTAATAATGGCACAGAGATCCAGGAGGGAAACTTAATACCAAGTGCTTCTGGGGAATCAGCTCAGGGAGCAACCGGAGGCAGAAATTAGCCCGTATTTCCCCTGTCAGCACACATGCAGACGGCTGGAAGTGCACTCTCCTCCCTCTACATTCAGGAGTTTAAGCAAATAATTTGAAGGTCACATTTCTGAGCACGAGTTGTTTCAACAGCCTCTTGGTGACGCTTTGCTCGGCTGTGCTCTCCTGAGGGTACAACCTGAGTGTCAAAGTGGCCTTTTCCTCTGGAGGGGTGGAGGGTGGGTGTCAGCTGCAGCCACAAAGAAGGAAAAAAAACACAAACACATCTGTGTTGCACCAAAGACTGGGGATGGAGGCTGAGGGCTCAGTCATGAACCACTGATGTGAGGACAAGGCTATGGCACATCATATCAGGGTACGGATGAAGTATGTTCCAGCTGTGTAACTCTGCTCATACTGAATTTCAGGAGAAGATAAACGCTGTCAGGCTCAAGGCCTTGGTTGCAGAGGATGTGCTGTTCAGAAGATAAAGGGATGGGACACCATTACTGGGATTGTGAACTCTCTGGGATATACCAGGGCGTTGCAGGGATGGGCAATATTGCCAGCTGCGTGGGATGCTTCACCCATGGGCAGGGAAGTTGCCATGGAGGATGTCCCTGGCTTGTGCAAGTGCACATTATAAAGATGCACCAATGCACCTTTCCAGAGCATCCCCCATTTAGATGGCACCACTGGTGTGCTCAGCGCTGACAGGCAAGTACATTGAGGTGGGTGAGGATGGCTCTGTGCGCTCAGGCTCCCAACTTGTACATTCCTTTGCTGAGATGGTGCCACTCACACCAGCGATGAGCCCCTCTGAAAAGAACAAGCCATTGGACTGAGCGGGACAGCAGGGAGATTTCTACTTCTATACAGAGTTTCTGCTTCCCAAAGCGGTGAGTAAATGGAGCTTAGCCAAAAAAATGCGAGAGGTCAGTAAAAAACGGAGCATGTCTTCTGGAGAGCTCTGACAATCAAAGGCTTTTCTGTGTTTTCCATGAAACGGTGCTGGGAGAAGGAAAAGAAGCCACTCAGGAAACTCCCATTGCTTCTCCTGTGTCGTGTCTGCAAGGTGTGCTGATTTCGGCTAGAGTAGAGCTGGTTTTCTTCATAGTAGCTACTGTGGGGCTATGTTTTGGATCTGTGCTGAAGACAGTGTTGATAACACAGGGATGTGTTTGTTACTGCAAAGCAGTGCTCACACAGACAGAGCCAAGGCCTTTTCTGCTCCTCACCCCACCGCACAAGAGAGCAGGCTGGGGGGGCACAAGGAGCTGGGGGGACACAGCCCGAGCAGCTGGCCCTGACTGACCCCAGGGATATCCCACACCATATGGGGTCATGCTCAGTGTATAGAGCTTGGGAGGAGAAGAAGGAAGAAGGGATGTTGGGAGTGATGGCCTTTGTCTTCCCAAGTCACCCTTTTGTGTTATGGAGCCCTGGTGTCCTGGTGGCTGAACTCCTCCCTGACCATGGGAAGCGTGCACGGCATTTGCTTTACCTATCATCATAGAATTAGACTGGTGTGTGCTGGAAGGGACATAAAGCTCACCCAATTCAAACCCCTGCCATGGGCAGGGACCCCTTCCACCAGAGCAGCTTGCTCCAAGCCCCTGTGTCCAACCTGGCCTTGAACACTGCCAGGGATGGGGCAGCCACAGCTTCTCTGGGCACCCTGGGCCAGCGCCTCAGCACCCTCCCAGGGAAGAGCTTCTGCCTAAGAGCTCATCTCAGTCTCCCCTCTGGCAGGTTAAAGCCATTTCCCTTGGTCTGTCCCTACAGGCCCTTGTCCAAAGCCCCTCTCCAGGTTTCTTGTCTTAAAGTGCCTTTATCTCACCCCATGAGTTTTCCCACTTTTATGCTTCCAGTTCTCTCCCCCATCCCACCATGGGGGAGAGAAGTGGCTCAGTTGTGTGGGAGTCAGTTGCTAGCTGGGGTTAACCCACAATGGCAAAGGGCAATGGTGCAGGCACAGACCAACACTCCCTGGGATTCTCTCCCTGCATCACAAGCAATGCAGTTTGCATTCCATACATCCTGCTTTGATCCCAGCCAATGGCTTAAGCTTCTTTTTCCAAACCCAAAATTATTTAAAAACTCTTCCTGTTCAGTTATTTGAGGGAACTCCCTTTTCTCTGGAGAAATTATTTTACCTTATGATCAGTAAGGAAGAAATTAAACATGATCATATTAATTATGGTTCATCATATAAGATAAAACTGTAATCAAGTGGCTTATATGTCTAAAAAGTTGGGGCAGCAGTATTAAGAAATTAAGACATTAAAGGCCTCCACTGATTTTAAAATGTTTAAATTATACATCTCAGAAGAAACTGATGCCACATTTAGGGAGCTCCAACCCTTTTATTTTTGAAGTAGGAGCTGAAGGATGAAAACACTTTCAAAACAGACATAGTTTCATTTTTATTTCAAGAAAGCCTTAGGATGCTTATGGAAAAAACCCAAGGGGGAGCTGAGGGGAAGTTGGTTTCGGTTTGGGGTTGGTTTTGCCTAGATTTAAGCCAAGGTACCTTCTTTAAAAAGGAAGGGGCAGCCTGGCTTAAAATCCTCTAACAGAGCCCACGGAGCAAAAATATGCCAAGGAATGCAATCCGCCAAGCTGGAGCAAGAGAAATTGTCCGTTCTGGCAGGACCTGACTGCTGGGTTTCCACCAGCCTGGTGGGGACTGCTGGGATCTGTGGTTCCATGAAGTCAGGCTCAGGTCTGAGGACCCATGTCCTGAGCCAGAAAACCCTGGAGAATTCCTGTTTGCATTTCAGGAAAACACTTCCCCAGTTCAGGACCGGGAGCTGCTGAAACACGCTTCCAGGAAGGATTAAAATAGGGAATTGTCAGTGTAGCTTCTCAGAACACGGGGGGGGTGTTGTCCTCTGGAAACACCAGAGCGCTGTTCTGGATTCAAAATCAGAACAGTGGGATTTGGGGGGATACTTTTATGTTGCTGCTGTTTTCTCACTATCTGCTTCTCCCAGAACAGGGATGTTCACATCTGAACGAGCTCCACATTCCGCGTGGCTCAGTGGAGCAGTGTAGCTCGGTCCTGCTGCTGCTGCCCCGTGCAGGGAGGTATTGGAGGGCACTTGAGAGTTAAAGTTCTCCTTGAAACTGTGACCATCTACTTAAACGTTCCCTAAAGCCTAGAGTTTGAGATAAAACCCCTCTCAATG